GGTCTCATAAAAGCATATAGAGGAGGCTGGGGTTGTAGCTCAGTGAGGCACTAGATTCAATCTTTAACACCACATAAAAATAAAGAAAGTAAAGGTATATATACATAAAGTATAACTTATTAAAAAAAAAACATAGAAGATCCATCTACTTTCTAAGTTTCTCTTTTTCCCTTCCACTGACCTTGGCTGGCTCTTGTGACCTTGGCCCTGGATTCCTGGCCCAGCAGTCTGATGGAGAAGGTGGTAATCTGTGTTACTGCACCCCAGGCATATGTCAACTGATGGTTTCTTTCAGTCCTCAGTACAGTTAAATGAGATTGGGGTTTTCATATTCCATCCTTACAAGTGGGAGAACCAGGCACAAGATAGTTTGAAATAACTTACCCAAGATCACACAGCTAACTGGGTAGAGAATGCCATTGAACTAGAGCCATCCCTGTTAATCCCCGTATTGCATTTGCTCTGACCTCAGTCCCTGCTCCTGAGTTTAGTGAAGTGCCACTCCCCTCAAGCTCTTCCCACTCCATTTATTCTCTTTGCTTGTTTTGTTGCTTGAGGAACATACACCACCACCACCCTCCTGTCTCACAGCAGAGGAACCAATTCCTAAGCGATTCAGGTACTTGGTTTCTTACAAGTGTTGAAGAATTTGACCTTCCCAGCAGTTGACCCTGATAAAAGGGAATTATAACTTAAGGATGGGTGGCTTTTTAAAAATTGTAATAATTTTATTCACAAAAATATACCAAAAATGTATAGAGAGGCCCTATATAGTCTTCTTCACTCTCCCCCTTGCCCACCATGTTGCCATCCCTAACTGTAGTATGATACTAAAAAAGATGTGGATGCTGATGCAGCCACAGAGCTTATTCATATTTCACCAGTGGTAACATATGCACTTGACTTAGCTAATAACTTTGGGCAAATTATGTTGGGATAAATTCGTCTTCATGGCAGTCTACTGTTAATGTAAAAAGGGCAGGCTCTGGAACCAGACAAAACGAGAACATGCCTGGTACCCACCTTGTGACTAGTAATACCTCCTTTAATTTTCACACCAGCCTCATATATCAGTTATGAATGTTTTCAACTACAAGGGCCATAATGCTGTAGTGATATAGTTGCTTAAGCGTTTAAGGGCTGGTGCAGTGACTTGGCGACACCGTTGGATCTAAACTCCATTTCTCCTGTTATGTGTGTATGTGTGATTCTATACAGTTTTGTCAGATTTGTAACTTAATGTCACTGCCACTACCACAGTCAAGATACAGCATTGTTCCATCACCACAAGGTTTTCTTGTGCTACCACTTCAGAGATTCTCCTACCTCGCACCCTGGAATGGATGGCTTTTGGCTACTCAGGCTATTTTGAGTGGCAATTGTCTTCCTTCTTCCTGCCAGTCCAGACCCTGAGCCTACCACACAGACTCAGTATGGCTAATAATCATGATGACCTTCTCTACCAGTGAACTGGACTTCCTACTCCTCATTCTGATGAGGGCTGGGCCATGTCCCCATTTGTGCCCCCTCTCCTTACTCACCAACTGGAGCCTTACTTCCAAACAGATATTCATTCTGTAGACTTACTGTCACCCCCCAGAGCTCTGACTCACTGTGCTTTCCTGGTCCCTTTTGCTTCTTTCAGCCTGCTGGTTCCTTCTGGGATTTATTTTGTTTTTGCTTAGAAGCTATTTCTTAGTTCTTTGGTTCTCTGATTTTCTCCACATCTACCTCAGTACCAGGACACAGCCACCTCTGTTCATGAGCAAGGAGCCTGGTCTTGGCTCGGATCTTGTTCTGTGGCATCTGGTGGCAGAACTGAACATCAAGTGGTACAGGGCTCATATACCTGCAGCACTAGTCCCTACCCCACGAGGGCAGCTATTTTATTATCTTGCTCAGGACTTGGTAGATTTTTCCATCTGAGGATTCATGTCCTGTTCTCCAATATTAGGACTCTTATAAACCCTACATATCTGTTTTATGACTTTTAATTTTTTTGTATTTTAAAAATATCTCTCTCTCTCCCTCTCCCTCTTCCTCTCCCTCTCCCTCTTCCTCTCCCTCTCCCTCTCCCTCCCCCCCCATATCCTGGGAAATTTCTGTCTTTTTAAAAATAACTTATTGAGATGAAATTTACATATTATAAAATAATCATGATGAAGTAAACAATCCTGTTGCATTTAGTACATTCACAGTGTTCTGCAGTCACCATCTCCAAGACAGTTTCATCACTCCAAAGTAAAGTGCCTCACCCATTATGCAGTTTCTTGCCATTCCTCCCACTAGTCTCTGCAAACCCCCAATCTACATTCTATACATGTGCATTTACCTGTTCTGATATCACATACACGTGGAATCCTACCATATGTGGCATTTTTTTGTCTTTGCTCAGCGCAGAGGTTATATATGTCAGTATTTCATTCCTCTCTAAGGATGAGTGATCCTGCTTTGTGTGATAAGCCATGTTTTGTTTATCACTTAGGTCTTCCCACCTTTTAGCTATTATGAATTTGTAGATACATGAATTTGATTGAGTCCCTGTTTTCACTTCCCTTTGAGTATATACATAGGAGTAGAATTGTGGTGTCATTTGATAATTTAAAGTTTAACTTTTGGGGAAATCTCCAAAATTTTTTGACAGTGACTATATCATTTTAAAATTCAACCAGCAATGTGTGAGGCTCCCAATTTCTCCACATTCTACCAACATTTATTTTCCTTTTTAAAAATTACTTTGATTATAGTTATGCTAGTGAGTATGAAGAGGTACCTCACTATGGTTTTGATTTGCATTCCAAAAATGACTAATGATGTTGAACATCTTTTCATTTGCTTATTGGTCATTTGTATTCTTCTCTGGAGAAATGTCTGTTCAAGTCCTTATAGCCACTTGTTTATTGGGTTGTTGAGAGGTTTTTTGTTTTGCTTTGTTTTGTTTTTTGTCTTTTTTAAAATTTTAATTGTTCCTTATAGATTCCAAATTTCAAATATCTATGAATTCATTTCTTTTAGCAGTTTCTATTTAATATATCTACTGAGTTTCTTTATTTTTGCATTTCTAGGATTTCTAGTTCTTCCTTTTTTTTTTTTTAACAGTCACCTAGTATTTTGGGGTTGCTATCTACTGCCTTTATTTCTTTGAGAATTTGTAAATGGACTTTCTACTAGCTTTCACCAGATGGCTCTTACCTCTCCTAATTTGATTATGAATTCCTCCTTTGGTTGAATCTGGTTTCTGTCTTTCATAGTGCTGGATTTCCTTTTGTATTTCCGCTCTGTAATTATTTCTTATTCCCAAGGTCATCTGCAGTGGAAGTTCCTTTCTCCTTGTACCCCTATCATGGGGTAGACTCTGCTACCATTTCAGAGCTGCTGCTTCCTTTGCCCTCTGAGTACCAGCTGTGTCCTTCACAGAGGGCTCAGTTCATGCCTTCACCCACATTGATGGTACAGGTTGAGTCCAATCTCCAGAAGGAACTGCTTCCACCTCATGGTCACAAATCCCAACTAGTCACATCCTGGGCAGACATGCAACATCAGACATGCAGCTCCAAAGAACAGTGGTTCTGGCTCCACATGCCTAAGATGTGTGACTTCAGGCCCATCCTCAGGGAGCATTAAGAGCCAGGCCCTCATGGCTGTCATCTGTCTTGTATCCCTGTGGGGCTATAGATGGGCTTTGCCTCCCCTTACTACTATGGTTTCCCCTTTCTCACTCCAGAAACTTCTCCCTTCCTGGCCCTCAAAAAATTTCCCTTTTCATATTGAATAGTGACTCTTTAAAAATAATATTTTCTTTCATTTCTGTATTTTGACTTGAAAAGTTGGAATTTGTGGCCATCAAGTAGATAACCTTTCCTCCAATTGAGAAATAAGAAAAAAATTGTTTTTTAAATTAAGGCATATTTTTTCTTAATAAACCTGATCTTGGAGAATGTAATCTTTGTCTCAAGGTCTGCAGGCTTCCTATACTACAGTCAAGATCTAGACAGGTAGACAGGATGGGGCAAAGTCTATTTCTGTAAACAGTGTGGAGGCACCAGGTAGATTGTGTGTTTTCTGTGAACACCTTGCTTACAGTGACAAGGAAAAAGAGGAGACCATGCCACCCATGTCTCAAACTTTATACTTTGCAATCAAATAGGTGACCATGGGGAGCCTTGAATGAGGAGGCAGAGGCCAAGAGTATCAGTTCACAGAGCTTTCTCACCTGCAGGAGGGTTGGGAATGGTGTCCCTCCCATAACCAAAAGGGGGAGCACTAGCACACACACAGTCTTCTGTCCTGGAAGTCAGCCCCTTGCTCAAGGACCTCAGGGAGGTGCATGTTCAAGCTCACCACCTCCTTGAACATTGTGACTTGGCTTCTGGCCATCCCCGGGGCTCAGCCTCTGGCTTTCAGATTAACATTTTCTCACCTTCTTTCCCTTCTTCAAGTTTTCCCTTTCTCCCTTCCCCTCAAGAAGTAGCTACAAACTGCCCTCAGCATGTTTCCCTCACCAACAATTAGTAAGTGGATCCAGAGGAAAGAGGAAGGAAGGCTGCTACTGTCTGCCTGGGGCTCAGCAAGAGTATATAGTCCACCTGGGCCAGCTCACCAGGGCACTCATTGAATTTTAGACCAAAAGCTCAAATGATAAAAAAATGTACTTACATTTATTGATCTTTATTGGGGATATAGACAAAGTTAAAACACTCAGATAATAAAACATATCCTCATCAAAAGGAGAACTTTTTATTATTTTATTAAAAACTAATGGTGTTCTTTCTTGCTTAGAGTTATGAGAAGACTCTTTTATATATTTCAAGTTCTGTTGATCTGTTTACATTCTCTCACAGTTCCCATGATTCTGCACATTTATTTATTTTCATTCCTAGCAAACTTAACTGATTTTTAATTACCTAACATTTTTCCATTAGCTAAGACAATGTGAATTAAGCTTAGTAAATGAAATATATCTGCCTAACCTGGCACATGCTGTCATCTTCTCCTACAAGGTCATTCCCAGCGACCCCTTCTGGGTGCCAACTACTGAGGAAGAGTACTTGCACTTTGGGGAAAAGGCTGATTCTGAGAACCAGGCCCGGAAGTACATGAATGCAGTACGGAAGCGGAAGGGGCTTTATGTGGAAGAAAAGATTGTGGAACACGCAGAAAAGCAGAGAACACTTAGCAAAAATAAGTAGCTGCTACTGTTGGTGAAATCTTTTCCTTATAATGAATTAAAAAATATTATCAAGAGTTTAGTCTTGGGAACATTCCTTTTTTCTGCATTATCTCTGTGCATTCACTTTCAATAAAGTTGATCCATATAAATGTTTAAAAAAGAATGTTGGAGAACATAATTTCAAAGTGTTTTTTTTAATTGCTTCTGGTTCAAGGCAAAAAAGATGCTATCATACATTTTACAATGGTAAGTTATTAATAGCGTGTGACCACCTCTGACCCCAGCAGTGAGGTTTGTATACCAAGGTCAGAGTGACTGTTTGTTGGTGGGAACGTGGTGGGCAGACCACTGTGGGGGCATCCTCAACACCAAGCAACCCCTTCCTGGACCTGCTGTCTGCCTGTCCCTGCTTCTGGCCATCCTAGTAGGGCTGAATAAATGTCATGAGGGAATTTCTGATTTAATCATCAAATCACAGCATTTAACATCTTTCAGAGACCAGATACTTACAGAGTAGCTGTGTTTTAGTGATTTAAACCAAGTTACTGACCCACCTTATGGTGTCATCTGGCAGAACAGGGTGATGTGCAATAATTCACTTTTACACCCTCTGCTTTTACACTCCCTCATGAATTGCATCACCCTATTTTAAGTAAGTGTTAATGAAAGTTGTCCCCTGTACCTTTTTTGTAAAAACAAAACAAAAGAGGTATATCTCTATAATTTTCTTTCTTTGATGATTTCTCTTAACCTCACTGAGGGGATATTAGTGAGGTTATTGCTATTATTGTAAGTATTTTTTCAGTATCTCTCAGTTTCCTCATCCAGTTGATCCTTATCTAAGTAACAAATGCAGTTTAATAAAAAATAAATTTTGTAATTTTCAGTGTTAATAATTTTTATAGACACTTAAGGGAAGGATTCGTTTTCATAACATAAAATTATCAGACCAGGCTTTGTTATTGAAATTCCTTTAATGGGTTTTCTTAATAATCTAGGTCATTCTTAATACTAAAATAGACATTTTATCTTTAATCTTGAGGGCTTTGGAGTATAACCGGTCATATATAATTAACCAAAACTTTAGGGAAAGTATGGCTAGATGATTCACTGTTAATAGATAATGATATCTGAATTATTTTAGGAGAGCTATACTATGTATTGGTTTATTTAAAACACTCAGATAATAAGAAAAGCCAGCACAGATTTAGCATTTGTAAATAACATCATTCAAACTGCCATATGTGCTATAAAATGTTTCTTACACTCTACATTTTATCAGCAGATTCTGTATTTAATAGAGAAGTGAAGCATAACCTAGAAAGAGTTGGAGCAGTTTCTTCAGTTCTATTGGGCTCTGCCAGATGTGCCAGTGTTAAGGAAGTGACATGTCAAGTTGATTGATGGCCCCTTTTCCTTTTCCATGTTTGAGGAGATAATAATGGACAGTAAAATAGCCACAAAGTGGCTGGCCAAGGAATATAGCTAATCTGCCATCCAAGTAATCTACCCACTTGTGTACTTTGTGATAAGACCCCAGTCCTGAAATCTAGTCCCTTTCTGTGACAGCATAGCAGTGTGGTCTTCAGTCTATGCCCCAATGCCATGCCCAGACTCTGGCCTCAATTTGTTGAATTTACTGGAAGGAAACAAAAATCTGTTGGTCCTGGAGTGGAAGTGAAGTGTTCCTGTTTTTGTTGGTTTCTTATAGTTCTTTATAAACAGATTTCAGAGGCCTGAGAAACCACAAAACCAAGACCTTTACTCCTGAAGATTCTTTGTACTGAGGCCCAGAGATAGATGTAGAGGGCACCAATATAAGGTCTTTTCCCAGCAGCTCTGGAGCACAGGTGAACAGGAAAGGGGCTAGGAGTTGGTTGGGCTCCAGGACCAACTGGAGGAGGAGGAGGAAGACAAGCAGCCTAGAGGACCAGCACCATTGTACTCTCATTGAGAGGCTGGGTGAGCTCCTTCTTGTTTGCAAAGACATCATTTGGACAACTTCCACTTTACAGTAGAAAAAGAAAAATTTTTAAGTCTTTCAGATGTGCACACTGTTATTTCAGGATTGGGATTCTCAAGCTAAAGGTGAAAAGAGAACTAGCCCAAAAGTAATGTGAAAAAGCATCCAGGTGACAGTCATTCTGGACAGAAGGCTGATGGACAGAGGAGGGAGTTACTTGCCTTTCAAACCCAATAGGAGCAAAGAAAGGGATGAACAATGTGTCTATCAGTCACAGATCTGGGGCACTTATAAATGTACTCTTAAGGAGAAAGGATTGGATCAAACTGGAAAAAGTTATTTGAACATCAGGTTTAGATGTTTCTTTTTTTATTTGCCCTAATTCGAAAAGAAAGAAAGAAAATGACCTTATAAGATGTCTCATTGTGTGTTTCCACCTTTTTTCATCTGTCTCTCAGAGTCTAGAAAAATCAGTGCTGAATTTTTCTGTTCCACATATGAGATCATTGACAATACTTCATTTTGTAGACTGCTTTTCAAAGACATTTTCTTATAAAACAATTTCACTTTTGAGAATGTTAATTAGAGAGGAATTCATTTTTCTAGTTTTAGAGGTTTTGGAATGTTTTCAACTTTGCCACCACACCTCTTTTTGAAGGTGGGGGATGGGTACCTAGGATTGAACTCATGGCCACTCAACCACTAATCCACATCCCCAGCTCTTTTTTGTATTTTATTTAGAGACAGGGTCTCACTGGGTTGCTTAGGGCCTTGCTAAATTGCTGAATGGGGCTTAGAACTCACCATCCTCCTGCCTCAGCCTCCTGAAGTGCTGGGATTACAGGCATACGCCACCATGCCCAGCTGCTACTAGCAGCTCTTAATCCTTCAAAATAAATAGGATTTGTCATTTGGAATGGAGTTTAATACAGAAAAGGTAGTGCTCACTGGTCAAATATTTCTCTGGAAAAAAAAAGGCAGAATTATTCTCAAGTCTGAGACTCTGTAGTACCTGGGCTGCTCTGAGAACTGATTCTCTTTCTCAAAAAAGGTTAATACTTCCTTCCTGCCTTAGTGAGTGGCATCCAGAGGTGCTCTCCTATTGAGCTACACTCCCAACCTCATTTATTTCTTATTTTGAGACAGAATCTTACTAAGCTGCTGGGATTACAGGAATGTACCACTGTATCAGCTGATCCTTAAGTAGCATGCAGGGGACCTTCCACAAGCAATTTGAGTTGACTCCCCCTGACAGTATCAGTGGCCTAATGACCTCCTGACTGCTTCCTCCACTGCCAAATATTTTAGGGGGACTCCAGGAAAATTTCACATAGGCTCTTGATCAAGCCCATTCTCTGTACTGTTGTGCGAGTTGCTCCAACTCCTTCCCTCCCTGGCCTGATCCTTCATCACTATTTCTCACCTTCATGCCAGTCCTTCCCCAGCTCCTGTGGCTGTTTATTTGAGCCACACTGCTGCTGAAGCTGTGGAATTTTTTTCTTCTTCCCCCTTTGTGTTATATTGGTGAATTCTCAAAGCAGGGGACTCTTGTGCATGGGTTTTATGGAGCTTCGAGCTCCTTGGCACCCTGCTCTCCATAGGACCCAGGAGGTTGTCTTCATGGCTCAACTTTTGGATGGAGTCAGTGGTCATCACCACTGTATTCATAAGTTTTGTTCCCTCCTGTTACTCAACCAGTTGTGTTTGTCACCTTCTTGTTGTATATTTTCTTTTAGAAAGTTCCTTAGAGTCCCCTACAATAGACTTTAGTAGGTTCCACCCCATCAATGTATCAGGCAATTCTGAACCACAGCAATAAACCCAACCCAAGTTTTCCTAAACCAGTGTGTCTCAAAAGTTGGCAGCAGATTGGAATTACCAACTTGGGGAGACTGGAAAGTGTCTTCATTCAGAGGTTTCAAAAATCACCCAAGCCCAGGTTTTGCCCTCAGATGTTCTAGAGTTTTTGGCTATAGCCTAGCCATCAAGGAATTAAAAGTTTGGGCTGGGGATATAGCTCAAGTGGTAGCATGCTCACCTGGCATGTGTGGGGCACTGGGTTTGATCCTCAGCACCACATTAAAAAAAATGAAGATATTGTGTCCACCTAAAATTAAGAAATAAACATTTTAAAAAAAAAGTTTCACAGCCAACTGTTAATATGCAGCCAAGGTGGAAAAACATTGCTCTAAATGCATGCCCTCCTATTCATCAGAGCCACCCATCAAGTGGCTATTGCTTGTGATCCACCCCCCTCAGGTAAGCAAACTGAAGTTCAAAGAGACTGAGTCCCATACTGTAAGTAATGGAGGTCAGTTAGGTTTCCATTTAACTGCATGTATCAGAAAATCCAGGTGAGAAGCCTCAGCCAAATATTTGTTCCTCATATAATTATATAAGAAGCCTGTTTAGAGCCAATGTGGTGGCTCCACAGCCTTCAGAGACCCAGGCTCCAGTCTTCTGATTGACTGGTTTACACTTCAATCCTCAAGTTTGTTCATGATTTAAGATGACTGCTGGAACCCTAGACTTCACATCCATGTTTTGGATGAGATGGGCAGAAATGTTGCCTTTAAGTGAAACAATCTTCTTTAAAGTGGTCTTCCAGAAGCCCCAACATACAGCCTTCATTTACATCCCATCAGACACTTGGTAGCAGGGGAAACTGGAAAGTGCCTTCATTTAGAGTTCTGTTAGCAGGAAAGAAGGGTCTCATGGCTATTGGAGGGGCGACCAGCAGTTCCTACCCCATCAATCTGGGGTGCTAACGTACGTCTGACTCTGCCCCTTTGAAAATCAGTTACTAGTATTTAGTGATAAGAACTAACATTTTAAAATAACAGCTTGTAGAAAGTGTATTTAGGGATCATGTTCTTGGTTTACTGAGTACTATGTTCAGAGCCTTGAAAAGTTCAGTCTGGTTCACTTTCAAATGATCAAAATATTTTGAGACCTCCTGCAATGTGAACTATAAAATAGGAATTTCAATTTCCAAAGCAAAAATAAGGTGGGAGTCTTGGCATCAGTTCCAAACAGCTCATTCTGATTCCTTGCCACATCCATAGCTCCATCTAGGAGACCGCTACTGTCGTAATTTTTAATAGTATGCTGGTAGC